TTTTTGGAATAGATCGGTCCCTGGTCCACCTATCAGCTAAAAGTATCCTATATGTTAATTGCTGCAATAAGCTACCTACATGCCAAATTTCAAGCAAGTCGCATCATAAATAAGATTTTTTCCAATAGATCGGTATCTGGTCCACCTATCAGAAAAAATATCCTATATGTTAACCCAGACAATAAGCTATCTACGTGCCAAATATCAAGCAAATTGGACCATAAATAAAACTTTTTCGAATAGATCGGTCCCTGGCCCACTTAACGGAAAAAATGTATCCTATATACTAATCTAGGCAAAAGGCTACCTACGTACCAAATGAATTATTTAGCGTAGCTCGACCCCTGCGCAACCTATCGGAAAAATTAAAACTTTGTGCACTCCTCCTTCTAAACACCTTTCAAAAAAAGCAGCAACCATTCGAATCGGTTATGAAACATAGGAGAAAGTTGTTCCCAATTGATTCTTGCTCACAATGAATTTCACAATTATCTGAAATTTTCCAAGCTTCACAACGAATTTTTCACCCTTACATCGTCCAAACTTTATCATGTGATAAAATACAAATTTCGTCGAAAAAAAATTCAAATTGTTCGCTTTCTGGCGGATTTTTCCGAGTTTCCCACTTAGAATTTTCTATTTTTCTATTCGAAAGCCATTCCGAAGGAATCGCACACAAAATTCCGTACAAAAAAATCAATTATTGATTTTTCCAATTTCCGACTTTTCTGGAGGGGTTTCCCAAATTTTCTTTCGTAAAAACCTTCTCCTGGCAATTACGAACAACTAAAAAAAAATTTTCAAAATCGGTCCAACCGTTTTCAATTGATGAATTACTAACCATTTTTCACACCATTTTGATATATGTATATAGATTAGACACCATTCAGAAAAAAATTTCGCTTCCAGTAATCTCCACATGGTAAGTGCTCCTCTATTATTTGCTTTCATAGGGATTCCGATACCTTCCTCATTAAAGTTGTAAAGAAAATTCGCTTAAGTGCTTTTTTCGCTTAAGTGCAAAAGTTTTTCGTGCAAAGACTGTGTTTATACACAGAAACTTCAGTCGACGCG